GTTTAACTAATGAGCGTGCAGTAATTATAAAGTGTTACCATATATATATACCATACTCATATACTCTGGGTTCGGGCCAAATTCCGAGCTCATAGCCCTCCCTTCTGACAGCACGCCAAATACGCATAACCTTTACTCTACTCAATTATATGTAAGTGTGAACTCGTGAACTGTAACATATTGTGGTTCAGAAATGATGGCGAGACAACGGATTCAAATGCAGTAGAAGATATTCATTAACAAATATTAAAGTAAATCCAGACACGATGAGGAGACAGGGTAAATCCAGACAAGGGCAAGACAGGTAAAACTGAACTGAGCATCACACACACAATGCTACCATAACGGACAACACCAGACAAAGAACAAAGGCAACACTGGGGTTTAAATACACGAGATGATGAGAGGCTAACAGGTGAAGGAAATCACTCACTGACCCTCCATCTCAATGTCCATACTATCCATCCTAAACATTATGTGATATTAAAACAAGTGTGTCCCAAAGCATAGTATGTTGAAAAGAGTATGGATGTCCCCGGATGGTCTACTATTTCCGGTGGATTTTCGAACTGTGGATCCGTTCACACTCTAAAGGCTAATATTGCCCACAACCCATTGCGCTTTGGAGGAGGAACTACAAACACAAGTAAAAAAGTGTTAAAAAAAACGGCAAAACATGGTGGAAATGTGTGACCGACGGTGAGAGGTTTAGATAAAGGTTTGAGTGACTAATCAAAGTTTAACCTGATAAAAAATATGAATTTAATGTTATCCGTTGTTATATTTCATCTTCAATAACAATGTGGACTTTTATAAAGATCCGTTTGGCCATTTACTTTTACATGCATCATTATGCATTAATATCAGAGTTCTCTGCATGAAAGACCCACGATTACAGATCAACATGCTACTGCATTTCTCTCCTATACAGTAGGAAATTAAATTAAATTAAATGAGGAGGATTTTATCTTTGACAAGGTGATTGACAGGCCAGTTTACTGTGACAGGATGCGACAGAGAGCAACCATTAAAGACGCAATTGTATGATGTGATAGTATGTCCCAAAGCTTGTCTACTCTTCTGCTACACACTCAAAAGTATGTACTTTTTCTTCACAAAAAGAGTACATACTTTTAGGGCGTAGTATAAGTAGGTGAATTGAGACACAGCATAAGGCAAACAGGAACTAAACTAGGAAGAGAGAAAACAGGAACAATGGGAACAAAACTATACTTCGAAATAAGAGTCCTTGAACACCAGACATGGAAAAACTAGACAGGAAACATAACAATGACAAATTTGTGCTCATGGAGTGAAACTACAAGGTCCCTTGTAATGTTGGTCAACAAATGTGACCCGATCTGGCGAAATGAGTCGGAAGTCGCAACGTTCTATTTTAAGATATGGGCCGATTATGTGGAAAAACAATGAAATAATAGATTTTTTTTTTTGTGCTAATTTCAAAGAACAGACATTCAAAAATAATCTCCCAAAGTTTCATAGTCCAGATATTGAGTAAAGGTATTTAAATTACTATTAAGTGTACAAAGTTTTACTAAATTCGCTGGAAATGAACATTGCTTTTCTCAACTCCTCTCGTCACCTCTGAGCATTTCCCGGGTATCCCTGAAATGTCACTATCTCTGCTCTTTAAATGGTGTTACACGTTGTATAGAACCAATCAAAAAGCTTAGAAATGTACACAAATGCTGATCATTTGTCGATGGGAAGCCGTTTCGACTGACCGGCACGCGATTGGTCCAGCCACCCTCCTGTCAGACTCGCAGCGAGCGCTCTGTGTAATAAACAAGCTAGCAGATCTCCTCAGAAACATTAAATATTATTAATTTGAGAAATGTCGCTGTCAAAAGTGAGCAAAGTTGCCAAAGCGTCATCAAGCCCCCTTGGCCATTGCACACTGAGTCCGCGTTTTTTTTCGTATGCGTTTTTTTCGGATTGATTCGTGGCTCCGAATTGTCAAAACACCATTCAAACTGCTTGCTACGGATGCGAAAAACTTACGATTGTTTTTTATATAACGGATGAAAGTTTCGTAGTGTGCACGTGTGATTGACATAACGTGATTGACAAAGGTGAATGAGTGTAGCTATTTATCTGCAAGCAGAATCCATTACAATGTGTTTGATTAATTACTGTTGGTATCTCCGTTATGAATTTGTTACGCTGTTATTGTCAACTAGGCCTACACTAAGATATGATTGCATAGACTAGCATTATTGATCTCTGTTTCCTTGTCTCTCTGCCTCTCTCTCTCTCTCTCTCTCTCTCTCTCTCTCTCTCTCTCTCATCTCTCATCTCTCTCTCTCTCTCTCTCTCTCTCTCTCTCTCTCACACACACACACACACACACACACACACACACACACACACACACACACACACACACACACACACACACACACACACACACACCCTCTCTCTCAAGCAAAATGTAGCACCTCTGTTCAATCTTTCTGATTTTAGTACATTTTTGTAAAAGGTAGGCCTACTGTTAAATTATTTATTCAAATAAAATTTTTTTTAAATAATTTGAGCTTCAGCCTGGTTTAATAGCATTTATATATTAATTTCTTGGTCAAATTAAGCTGTAAAATATAGTTTATCCCTTTAAATGTAATGGATTTTGAAAGATATCAACAAAAAACGGGCAAAAAACTTTAAATCGATTTTCTCAGTTTTCAATTGGAAAAAGAGGGCAGACGACCATAATTCAAATGTGTATATCTTTACAACCATTCAAGGTATGACTTTGACTAGGATATCAATTGAAAGCTTATGGTCTCCTCTTTCCATTAATACCAAAATCTCAATTTTTAATTTGGGTCACTGTGACTCATTTTGCTGGATCAGGTCACAAATAATGAAAACATTCTAAAGATGGCAATTGGACTTAGAATGCTGTAAAACAGGGGTCGGCAACCCTATGGCATGCATTCAACTCGGAGGATAATCGCTGGCACGTGAACAAAAGTGAGAGAGGTGTACGTATTTCCTTCAGATAAAGAACCTCGTACCTGCATACAGATCTACATTTTGGGTAATCATCCGTCATAGTAACACTCTTGTTTTATTAAGTTAGGAGTTAAAGTGTAATAATTAAGTTGGCTTGTGAAAGCCAACTTACTGAAATCCTATTTAAACTTATTATTATTCTTCACTATCTTTCTTTCTTTCTAACTGATCTATCTTTCTAACTAATCTTTCTTTCTTTCTTTCTTACTGATCTATCTTTCTTTCTAACTAATCTTTCTTTCTTTCTAACTAATCTTTCTTTCTTTCTTTCTAACGAATCTCTCTTTCTTTCTACCCAATCTTTGTATTTTTTCTACCTCATCTTTCTTTCTTTATTCTTTCTTTCTTACTAATCTTTCTAACTAGTCTTTCTTTCTATCTGTCTTTCTTTCTTTCAAACTAATCTATCTTTCTTTCTAACTAATCTTTCTTTTTTCTTTCTTTCTAACTAATCTTTCTTTTTTCTTTCTTTCTAACTAATCTTTCTTTCTTTCATTCATTCTTTCTAACTAATCTTTCTTCTTTCTTTCTAACTAAACTTTCTTCTTTCTTTCTAACTAATCTTTCATTCTTTTAACTAATCTTTGTTTTTTCTTTCTAACTAACCTTTCTTTCTAACTAATCTTTCTTTTCTTTCTAACTTATCGTTTTCTTTCTTTCTAACTATTCTTTCTTTCTAACTAATCCATCTATCAAACTTCAAACTATTTTAAACTTCTTCAAACTCTCTTGTCTGGCTTTTTCAAGCCAACTTAAAGTTTGTCTCATCAAACTTTTTTCTAGTTCTTCTTCTTCTTATTATTTTTCTTACCCAAAAAATTCTGACTGCTACTCCTCCTAGAGTTTTAACTCTACAAACTCCAAACTCGGGTCAGACCTTCAGACTGTTCTGACTCGAGTTGCTATATCTTTTCAGACTGATTTGACTTTCAGATTTCTTAAAAATTAATATTAAAAATCATAAAAATCCCATTGACTTTCATTGCAACAGTTCAAATTGAGCCAAGACTACGGTGGCCCGGTAGTGTACAACACAAAAACTCAAATCTAAACTCCCTGAAGCCCTAGACTCAATTAAACTACCATTCTATATGTACTAATGAACTTATCTATCTATCTATCTATCTATCTATCTATCTATCTATCTATCTATCTATCTATCTATCTATCTATCTATCTATCTATCTATCTATCTATCTATCTATCTATCTCTCTTTTTAACTAATCTTTCATTCTTTCTAACTAATCTTTCATTCTTTCTAACTAATCTTTCTTTCTTTCTAACTAATCTTTCTTTCTTCTAACTAATCTTTCATTCTTTCTAACTAATCTTTCTTTCTTTCTAACTAATCTTTCTTTCTTCTAACTAATCTTTCTTTCTTTCTAACTAATCTATCTTTCTTTCTAACTAACCTTTCTTTCTTTCTAAGTAATCTATCTTTCTTTCTAACTAATCTATCTTTCTTTCTAACTAATCTTTCTTTCTTCTAACTAATCTATCTTTCTTTCTAACTTTCTAACTAATCTTTCTTTCTTTCTAACTAATCTATCTTTTTTCTTTCTGACTAACTTATCTATCTTTCTTTCTAACTAATCTATCTTTCTTTCTTTCTAACTAATCTATCTTTTTTCTTTCTGACTAACTTATCTATCTTTCTTTCTAACTAATCTATCTTTCTTTCTTTCTAACTAATCTATCTTTCTTTCTTTCTCACTAATCTATCTTTCTTTCATTCTAACAAATCTATCTATCTTTCTTTCTAACTAATCTTTCTTTCTTTCTAACCAAGCTATCTATCTTTCTTTCTAACTAATATTTCTTTCTAACTAATCTATCTTTCTTTCTAACTAATCTATCTTCTTTCTTTCTAAATAATCTATCTATCTTTTATCTTTCTAACTAATCTATCTTTCTTTCTAACTAATCTATGTTTTTTTCTTTCTAACTAATCTTTCTTTCTAACTAATCTATCTTTCTTTCTAACTAATCTATCCATCTTTCTTTCTAACTAATCTATCGTTCTTTCTTTCTATCTAATCTATCTATCTTTCTTTCTAACTAATCTTTCTTTCTTTCTAACTAATCTATCTTTCTTTCTAACTAATCTATCTTTCTTTCTCACTAATCTATCTTTCTTTCATTCTAACAAATCTATCTATCTTTCTTTCTAACTAATCTATCTTTCTTTTTTCTAACTAATCTTTCTTTCTTTCTAACCAATCTATCTATCTTTCTTTCTAACTAATATTTCTTTCTAACTAATCTATCTTTCTTTCTAACTAATCTATCTTTCTTTCTTTCTAACTAATCTTTCTTTCTTTCTAACTAATCTATCTTCTTTCTTTCTTTCTTTCTTTCTTTCTTTCTAACTAATCTCTTCTTTCTTTCTTTCTTTCTTTCTTTCTTTCTTTCTTTCTTTCTTTCTAACTAATCTTTCTTCTTTCTTACTTTCTAACTAATCTTTCTTCTTTCTTTCTTTCTTTCTTTCTTTCTTTCTAACTAATCTTTCTTCTTTCTTTCTTTCTTTCTTTCTTTCTTTCTTTCTTTCTTTCTTTCTTTCTTTCTTTCTTTCTTTCTTTCTTTCTAACTAATTCATCTTTCTTTCTTTCTAATCCTTCTTTCTTTCTAACTTTCTAACTAATCTATCTTTCTTTCTAACTAATCTTTCTTGCTTTCTTTCTTTCTAACTAATCTTTCTTTCTTTCTTTCTTTCTACCTAATCTTTCTTTCTTTCTATCTTTCTTTCTTTCTTACTTTCTTTTTTCTTTCTTTCTTTCTTTCTTTATTTATTTCTTTCTTTCTTTCTTTCTTTCTACATAATCTTTCTTTCTATTTTGTCTTTCTTTCTTTCTTTTTTTCTAACTAATCTCTTTCCTTCTACCAAATCTTTCTTTCTTTTTTCTTTCTTTCTTTCTAATCTTTCTTTCTTACTAATCTTTCTTTCTTTTTTCTTTCTTTCTTTCTTTCTTTCTTACTAATATTTCTTTCTTTCTAACTAATCTTTCTTTCTTTCTAACTAATCTGTCTTTCTTTCAAACTAATCTTTCTTTCTTTCTAACTAATCTATCTCTCTTTCTTTCTAACTAATCTTTCTTTCTAACTAATCTTTCTTTCTTTCTAACTAATCTGTCTTTCTTTCTAATTAATCTGTCTTTCTTTCTTTCAAACTAATCTTTCTTTCTTTCTAACTGATCTATCTCTCTTTCTTTCTAACTAATCTTTCTTTCTAACTAATCTTTCTTTCTTTCTAACTAATCTATCTCTCTTTCTTTCTAACTAATCTTTCTTTCTAACTAATCTTTCTTTCTTTCTAACTAATCTGTCTTTATTTCTAATTAATCTGTCTTTCTTTCTTTCAAACTAATCTTTCTTTCTTTCTAACTGATCTATATCTCTTTCTTTCTAACTAATCTTTCTTTCTTTCAAACTAATCTGTCTTTCTTTCAAATCTATCTTTCATTCTATCAAACTAATCTATCTTTCTTTCTAACTAATCTATCTTTCTTTCTAACTAATCTATCTTTCTTTCTAACTAATCTTTCTTTCTTTCTAACTAATCTTTCTTTCTTTCTAACTAATCTATCTTTCTTTCTAACTAATCTTTCTTTCTTTCTAACTAATGTATCTTTCTTTCTTCTAACTAATCTTTCTTTCTTTCTAACTAATCTGTCTTTCTTTCTTTCAAACTAATCTTTCTTTCTAACTAATGTCTTTCTTTCTAACTAATCTATCTCTCTTTCTTTCTAACTAATCTTTCTTTCTAACTAATCTTTCTTTCTTTCTAACTAATCTGTCTTTCTTTCTTTCTAACTAATCAGTCTTTCTAATTAATCTTTCTTTCTTTCAAACTAATCTGTCTTTCTTTCTAATCTATCTTTCATTCTATCAAACTAATCTATCTTTCTTTCTAACTAATCTATCTTTCATTCTAACTAATCTTTCTTTCTAACTAATCTATCTTTCTTTCTAACTAATCTTTTTTTTCTTCTAACTAATCTGTCTTTCTTTCTCTCAAAATAATCTATCTTTCTTTCTCTCAAACTAATCTTTCTTTCTAACTAATATATCTTTCTTTCTTTTCTTTCTTTCTTTCTTACTAATCTTTCTTTCTATTTTCTTTCTTTCTAATCTTTCTTTCTTTTTTCTTTCTTTCTTTCTTACCAATCTTTCGTTCTTTCTTTCTTTCTTACTAATATTTCTTTCTTTCTTTCTAACTAATCTGTCTTTCTTTCTTTCTAACTAATCTTTTTTTCTTTTAACTAATCTTTATTTCTTTCTAACTAATCTATCTTTCTTTCTTTCTAACTAATATATCTTTCTTTCTTTTCTTTCTTTCTAACTTATCTTTTTTTCTTTCTTTCTAACTAATCTTTCTTTCTTTCTAACTAATCTTTCTTTCAACCTAATCTTTCTTTCTTTTTTCATTCTTTCTTTCTAACTAATCTATCTTTCTTACTAATTCATCTTTCTTTCTTTCTAACTACTCCATCTTTCTTTTTTTTCTAACTAATCCATCTTTCTTTCTTTCTAATCCTTCTTTCTTTCTTTCTTTCTTTCTAACAAATCCATCTTTCTTTCTTTCTAACTAATTCATCTTTCTTTCTTTCTAATCCTTATTTCTTTCTTTCTAACTAATCCTTTCTTTCTTTCTTTCTAATCAATCTTTCTTTCTTTCTAACTAATTCATCTTTCTTTCTTTCTAATCCTTCTTTCTTTCTTTCTTTCTTTCTAACTAATTCATCTTTCTTTCTTTCTTATCAATCTTTCTTTCTTTCTAACTAATACACATTTCTTTCTTTCTAACTAATACATATTTCTTTCTTTCCAACTAATCAATCTTTCTTTCTAACAAATCCATCTTTCTTTCTTTCTTTCTTTCTTTCTTTCTTTCTTTCTTTCTTTCTTTCTTTCTTTCTTTCTTTCTTTCTTTCTTTCTTTCTTTCTTTCTTTCTTTCTTTCTAACAATCCATCTTTCTTTCTTTCTAATCCATCTTTTTTTCTAAGTAATCCATCTTTCTTTCTAACTAATCTATATTTCTTTCTTTCTAACTAATCCATCTTTCTTTCTAAAAAAATCCATCCTTCTTTCTCTCTTTCTTTCTTTCAAACTAATCTATCTTCCTTTCTTTCTAACTAATCTATCTTTCTTTTTTTCTAACTAATCTTTCTTTCTTTCTAACCAATCTATCTATCTTTCTTTCTAACTAATCTATCTTTCTTTCTAACTAATCTATCTTTCTTTCTTTCTAACTAATCTGTCTTTCTTTCTTTCTAACTAATCTATCTTTCTTTCTAACTAATCTATCTTTCTTTCTTTCTAACTAATCTATCTTTCTTTCTTTCTAACTAATCTTTCTTTCTAACTAATCTATCTTTCTTTCTTTCTAACTAATCTATCTTTTTTCTTTCTGACTAACTTATTTATCTTTCTTTCTAACTAATCTATCTTTCTTTCTTTCTCACTAATCTATCTTTCTTTCATTCTAACAAATCTATCTATCTTTCTTTCTAACTAATCTTTCTTTCTTTCTAACCAAGCTATCTATCTTTCTTTCTAACTAATATTTCTTTCTAACTAATCTATCTTTCTTTCTAACTAATCTATCTTCTTTCTTTCTAAATAATCTATCTATCTTTTATCTTTCTAACTAATCTATCTTTCTTTCTAACTAATCTATGTTTTTTTCTTTCTAACTAATCTTTCTTTCTTTCTAACTAATCTATCTTTCTTTCTAACTAATCTATCCATCTTTCTTTCTAACTAATCTATCGTTCTTTCTTTCTATCTAATCTATCTATCTTTCTTTCTAACTAATCTTTCTTTCTTTCTAACTAATCTATCTTTCTTTTTAACTAATCTATCTTTCTTTCTTTCTAACTAATCTTTCTTTCTTTCTAACTAATCTATC